CTTCGAGCCTGCGCAGTGGATTTTTTAGGTGAGCCACAGTGTGCGCTGAGCTGAGCCCACCTTTAATCCTAAGGTTCATCTGCCAGGGCCGAGCGAGCTTGGACAGTGGCAGTGAGGTCCTCAGGACATAGGTTTGTTTAGAGTGACCTTCTCTTAGATGGATGGCCTTACAGGGCTGACAAGCTCCATCTGCCCGGGGGAGTTTCCCTGACCGGGAATCGAACCCGGGCCACGGCGGTGAGAGTGCTGCATCCTAACCACTAGACCACCAGGGGTCTTCAGGACATCGAACACCGCTCCAGGAAACCTACTCCAGGTTTTGACCACCCTCTGAGTAAAGAAATGTATCCTCATGTCAAGTCCAAATCTCCCCTGACAGACACAGCTTCTCCACTTCCCCTCCTCAGGAAGCTGTAGGGAGCACGAAATCACCCCTCAGCCTCCTCCTGTCCAAATCAGACAAATCCAGTACCCTCAGCCTCTCCTCAGAGCCCATTCCTGCCAGCCCCTCCCCCAGCTCTGGTGCCCTTCTCAGGACACGTTCAAGCACCTTCACACCCTTTTTAAATGATGGGGCCCAGAACTGCCCACAGTACTCAAGGTGAGACTGCACCAGCACTAAGTACAGGGGGACAACCACCTCTTTGGTTGGCTGGTGATGCTGTGTTTGATGCACCCCAGGATGTGGTTTGTCCCCTTGGCTGTCAGGGCACACACTGCTGACTCCTGCTGAGCTTCCTGCCAACCAGCACTCCCAGAGGCTCCTCTGCAGGGCTGCTCTCCTGCCACTCCTCTCCCAGTTTAGACTCGTGTCTGGAATTACTCCATCCCAGGTGCATAATTTGGCATTTGGTTGGTCTTGTTCAGTTTCATGTCACTGCTGATTGCCCAATGCAATAATCAATCCAGATCCCTCTGCACAGCTAGGCCTCCTGTCCCACGGGAGTCAGTAGCACCTCCCAGTTTAGTATCATCACCAAACTTACTACCTGTGCATTCAACTGCATCCTCCAGATCACTGATAGAAAGATCGAGCAGAACTGGCTCTAGAATTGAGCCTGACAGATACTTCCCTGTTCACTACAACTCTTTGAGCCTTGCCCTTCAGCCAATTCTTCACCCAGTGCACTGTGTACTGCTCATTCCACTGTTGGACAACTTGACCAGAAAGATGCTGGGAAGAACAGTATCAAAAGCCTTTCTAAAACCCAGAGAAACTAGATCTACCACCATCCATTCATCTACCAGGCAGGTGACCATACTGCAGAAGATTATTAAATCAGTTAAATAAGACTTTCCCTTTGTGAACACATATTAATTGTGTTTGATGCTTGCACTGTTCTTTAAATGTCTTTCAACAGCATCCAGTAAGATCTTCTCCATAATTTTTCCAGGTCCTGGGGTTAGGTCTGTAGTTTCCTGGGTTTTCCTTTATGCCCTTCTTGTAACCTGGGATAATGTTGGCTAGCTCCCAGTCAGCAGGGACCTCCCCAGGTTCCCCAAATGATTGAGAGGGGTCCTACAATAACATCTGCTTGCTCCTTAGCACTCTGGAATGAATCCCATCCAATACCATGAACGTGTAAACATTCAACTGACACAACTGGTCCCTTACACTTTCAGTGTTCACAAATGGAAAGTCAATGTTCCCACAGCCATGGTCCTGACTCGGGGGCCAGGCAGCTAAAATCTGTCAGTATGAAAAAAAAAGGCAAAAAAAGCATTGACTGTCTCATTTTTTTCTTCATCCCTCTTTTTCAGATAATAATCTTCAACAAGTATCAGTCCAAGACACCTGTAATTGCAATAGCATTTTTTTCTGTCAGCAATTAGAAACAGATGTGTTCCTCAGTCTGTGAGGGGCAGACTGCAGCTATTCTCAATCTGACAGATGACATCAGTTAACCAATCATTCATTTGAAAAAAAGAGGACTACGAACACCTCTTCAGAAAAAGTGTCACACTTGAGAAATTTTACACCCAGATTTAAACAGTCTTAGGTTAGTAAATTTAGTCTTAGACACTGCAAGCCAAAGTACAAATGTCAAGTTCTACGTCACAAAGCAAGAGACATGAATAGAGCAGAGAGGGCACGGTGAGTGAAACCTCTCTACAACAGAGTATAGGAAGAAAAGAGCAAAAATTAATGCAAACACAAGTTTCACAAAACTAAGAAACTAAAAGTGTTAGGAAAATTTGGTTTGAAAATGTTTCAACAGAAAGTAATCCATTTTAAGGATCTGAATTACTAAAAGCAAAGTAACAAAACCATATCTCACACTTTCTGCAAGACTCAGGTACATTACAAACCTTCTCATTCCTTCCTCGTTTACAGAATCTGTTTTCAAATAACACATGAAGACTAACCTATTTTATTTCTAAGATTAAATTCAACTATAATTTCCCCCTAGTGTTACTTGAAAGCAACTGAAGAATAAGAAATACTGCAAGACAACTATTTTACACAAAAATAAAACAACAGATGTAATTTTATGCTTCTGCCTTTCCATTCATGTCAACCCTTGAATGATGTGATCTGCTCTGTCCACAGTACAGCAGATTAGCTGTATGGACTAGGTTAAAGCTCTTGTATCAGGTTCCAGGAAATTTGACAACATTAATTACAACAGCCAGATAAAGACTGCAATATACTACGCTGTTGGGTGCACATGTGAGATAGACAACAGGTTAGCAAAGGCATATAGTGCCTTTGGAAAGCTTCATAAAAGAATTTGGCAAAATAAACACTTGAAGAAAAGTACAAAGATCAGTGTTTACAGAGCCATTGTGCTGTCCACTCTCTTATATGAATCATGAGTCATCTACCGCCACCACCTTTGACTCCTAGAACACTTCCATCAATGCTGCCTCTGTACAATCCTAAACATCCACTGGTCAGATTATGTGACCAATACATCTGTTCTAGAACAAGCAGCAGTCACAAGTATTGAGGCCACGTTGCTGAGAATACAGCTGCACTGGGCAGGGCACGTCTCCAGGATGAAGGACCACCACCTCCCTAAGATCTTGCTCTATGGTGAACTTGCCACTGGCTGCCGCAAGAGAGGAGCCCCGAAGAGAAGATACAAGGACTCCCTGAAGCAACATCTCAGCCTTGGCCATATTGATCACCATAACTGGTCTACTCTGGCCTCCAATCGAGAGGTCTGGAGACACACCATCTATAACGCTGCTGATGCTTTTGAGAAAGCACACAGGATCACTCTTGAGGAGAAAAGACAACACAGAAAGAATCGTGCCTTGCAGAATATACCACCTAAGGAGTCTTTCTGCTGTGCCTTTTGCAACCGGACGTGTCTGTCTCGTATTGGCCTTTTTAGCCACCAGCGTGCCTGTAACAAATGTGGGTAGAGCCCTTCTCAAATCTTTGTTCCCAAAGCCCAGCCATGAGTTGAGGGTGCACATGTATCCTTAGGCCCAAATTTATTCACTAGGCCAATTTTCAGCAAGTACCAACCCTTGAACATATGCACGGAGTATCCTGAACTAAGTGGATTACAATACTGTGTGCAAGGTATCATAATTATACTGCTGTTTATTGGAAACAGTAGACTCTGGAGCTACACTGTACTGAAAGTTGACCACACATGCCAGTTCAGGACAGCACTCTAAACTGCAACTAACAAAAACATACTTAATTTCACTAACTAGAGAAGACACGGTGAAAGACTTTAAAATAAGACTGAAAAACTACATAAAACTTTATAGTAAACTCATTTTCAAAAATATTACTTCTATTTGACAAATGAGTGATTTAAGAAATACAACATAGCTGAATGTCAGCAGTTTTGAAACCATGTTTTAATACTGAGACTATGCAGTGTCAGATCTCCCAGCGGTTCAAATTATACTCAATCAAGCCAAGCCAACTGATCATCCATTTGTCAAATTAACCAAATTACCTGCCTATAGCTTAACATTTACAGGATACAGAGTTTATATATCAGTTTTATTCTTTTAGATTCCAAGATGCAAAGGATACTTAAAACCCAGCGATGACACACAGGCAGACACTATAAACATGGAGTTTGCCAATACAAATACAACTTGTTGAAGCTCTTCTACCCAAAATTTGATAAGAGAGAATTTATTCTGTTTCAATGTACATATAAAATCATCACAACATTTTTCTGGCCACTATCACTTATAGAGATACTCTGCACTCATGTCATATCTAATGTGCATTATTATAATTTTAAAATGGTAGTTTCTAGAATCCAACAGTTAATTTCATGAAAGTACATGTAAGAAAAACAGCCAATTAAATTATGATTAAAACAAATAAATAAATGCCTTCATCTCAGATTTATACTACATTCTCAGTTCTTCCACAGTGAAAACAAAAAGCAAACATAAGGTTGAGGTAAGCAAACCAGCCCTGTAAAGGATGGAAACAGAAGGAATTTACAGAACTGAAAGAATAAACACTGAGAGAGAAGGATGACTGAAGACGTCAATGTTGGATTATTATTCAGTGCACATAAAAGTGTCACTACTTTAAATAGTAAAGACGAATCCCCTTTCAGTTTGATGTTCAAACAAGAGATGGTTTTTACATTCCTCCACAAGACCGTCCTTGTAGAGTGGCCAAACCACGTTCTCAGAAGCATCTAGAGAGGCTTCTAGGGCAAGAGGCAGATCAGCAACAACCAACTTGGATGTCAAAGTTCCAGCGAAGCGCTGAGAGCAAACCGGGGCGCGACACCCGCCAGCCGACCGAGCCCGCAGCCCTAGGCCGGCTGGGCCTGCGCGGCGCGGCATGATCCGACCCTTCCGCTGTCCGTCCGGCCCACGGGACACCAAGATCTCCCCGGGTGAGGCGCGGCCCTGCCCCGGCGGGTGAGAGGCCGCCACCAGCCCCAACGCGGCCCGGTGGCCCCAGCCCCGCCCCGCCGTACCTGCGGCGGGAGGGAGCCCGTGCGTCCCCCCGCCCCGCGCGGCGGCGTCTGCTCCTCGCTGATCTTCTGCTTCAGCTTCTTGAACATGGTGGCGGGACGGAGAAGAGGACCAGGCTTCCTGGCCAGCCGGTGGGGCAGCGAGGGGCGCCCGGGGGGCGACGGGACCGAGTTCCACCTGCCCTTGCCCGCGGAGCCGCCGCCGCTCCGCGCTCGGTCCCCCCTCCGCAGGGCAGGGCAACGTCGCGGCAGCTGCGCCTGCGCGGCCAACGTGGAGCCGAGTGCCCTGGCCGGCACGGTGCGCGGCGAGGTACAAACTTCCCAGCGCAATGCCCGGCGCCACCCCTCCCCCAAACCCCCACTGGAGCCGCGCCGCGGCGAAGCAGCGCCGCCTCGCCTCTCTCCCAGCGGGTGCGGGAGGCGGTGCCGTCCAGGGAACGGAGCGGGCAGAAAGGAGTCACCGCTTCCTTCAAAAGGGAGGGAAAACGGAGCGGTAACAACCGCCCGCAGCCACCTCGCGGCGCCTCTGCGCCGCCGTACCGCGTGACCCCGTACCCCCGCCCCGCCAGAACGCTGACGGTCTTAAAGCCCTCGTGTGACCGAGTCCTTGTGAGCCGGTGCTGACAGTGTCGCGGACAAGCTTTCACAAGCCGAAGAATCGGGCAACAAGGTAACAACAAGGTGCTTGGTTCTCGGGCTTGTGAAAGCTTCCGACTAAATACTCAACAGCTGCTTTTTTGAAACTGCCTGAAAGCCTATCTGCTAATAAGAAAGTCGTGCTGTTTTCGTTCCGACCACCTTAAAACCTTTTGAATACTCTTCTGTTTGTAAATCTGAGATATACTGTTTACAACTAAAGTACCATTGAGGGTGGAAAGGCAGTGTTTGCCCCAGTTGTTTTTGCTACTGTCCCCATGAAAGTAGGGTGGAAATGTTCTTAGCTGCTTTAGGTTAAAGCCTCTGGCTTTAGAACCCTTGTTGGATGACATTTGTACATGTGTGTTCAGTCCTATCCGTACAGATGCAGAGGGCTGTCAGCAGTAGCCAGCATTCATTCTCCAGCAATGGGACTGTTTTGAAACACTGTATTGACAGTGACTCTGTATGAAGGTTAAGAAATACATGGTGCTGTTTGCAAGAAATGATAAACCACGCTGGTCTTCTGTATAGCACCCTACTCAGGAGGCTGCATGCAGTAATCACTAACGCCCAGAAATGTTTTCACTGAAATACGCTCCTGAAATCTGTAAGTAGTTTGAAAAAAAAAGTGCATAGGAAATGGATCATTTGCTGTTACACTGACTAAAAAAATAACCAAGATACATCTACAGCAAACATAAACTGCTGTTTTTCCTAATTTTTTTTGCAACATGTTCAAAAAAATAATTTTCAGCAGACTGTTTAGTTATAGATAAACTGCAAGTGGTAGTGATCCTTTCTGTGCTTTTGAGTTGGTACAAACCAGCAATATTTTGTGATACGTGGCTATGTATCTAGTAGCGCTCCAATAATACAAAGTGGTATCCCACATTAAGTAGTAGTATCCAAATTCTGAAGACATGTGTGATAATTCTGCAAAACCCTATCATAAGCCTTACAAAAGGGCTTTAAATATTTAAATATTTTAGCATATGGGCAATTTTAATTAAAATGTATTGCAATATACAAAGCATTTGCTCTAAACCCCACAGAAGTCCTGTGGTAAATGTCTGGAACTATTCTTCCATACACACATAGAGTGTCAAAATCCCATAGTTAACTGAATAGTACCTTATTTCTAGAGGGCCGATCTGATCTTAGTAGATTTCTTTGTAAAATTAAAAGTAGTTGTTGAAAGTGAAGATTTGCCCTGCATCTTCCTTAAGTACACCAGTTAACATAGACTAAACAAGAAAAATATGATATGATGGTGTTGTGAAAGATAAATGTATATCTGCAAACAGCACTGGTTATGGTCTGTTCCAAATTAAATCTACAGCAGTTAAGCTATTTCCGTGGGAAAGGGAATAGAGTGTAAATGTAAAAGACTATGTTTTCACAGCAGTCTAGACTTCTCTCTAAGTGTCAGCAATGCTGGCCCACACATTCCTGCCATCCCATTCCTTGCCTTTTGCTAGTTCCAGTGCTTGTCAGACTGTTCCCTTAGTCATTTCTCTGTGTTCAGTCAGCAGAAAACTAACCTGACAAAAAACCAAGCAATTTCTGCTGACTTACTGTGCAGAGTCCCCGGAGAACTAGAGGTGCCGCAAGGGAGACAGAGGCACTCAGGAGCAGGACAGTTTTATGTTGCCATTTATTTCAGAGTGCTCAGGAACATACAGTCTTTGGTGAGCAATTTGCTTAACTATAAACTCAACTATAATACCACTAAGCGCTATTTCAAGTTCGGCTAACAAGCAACTCTGTTAATGGGAGTATTGATACTATCTCAACCAGTAACTATTTTAGTTGCTACTGATGGCTGAAGTATTTATGCATATGGCCTTCAGCCAATCTAAGCTAATTTTTAAAATGCCATCTTTAAGTTATTGCAGCAGTCATAAAAAAGCTATGGGTATGAATTATGAATATGTCTTTCAATACTTTTTTCCACACATTCAAAATCAATTACTTTGTCAAAGATGTATGAATTTGCTAGCAGCTAGTTCTTTCAATCCAGTTATCCAACACAAATATTAAAAGACATAGAACGATGTAACATAATATGTGTAGCATTTCTGATAACTTTTTAATGTTGGTTCATATTTTTTGGAAAGGAGGTTTTTCATGTTTGATTTTTTCTTTATTTCATCATCCTGCTGTTAAAACAACGTTGAATATTCCTATTATTCTGCCTGGATAATATTTGACATTGACGGGGTTACTTTAAAAAGAAATTAACAAGAACTGGTAATAGAGTAAAAAAAACTAAGCAGAAGGGAGCACTGATCATGTATTAGAAGTTACTGTCCAGAACTTATGTACATACCACTGTTCTTTACAGACAGTTTATGGAATGTTGCATTTGGTAATATTTGCAGTTTCTACTCCTACTCATAAAATGCAAAATACTATTGTTGATGTTAAAGCGGTCAGGGAATGTACCATGCATAGATGCACAGATAAACAGTTTCAGTTTGGAAGTATTTTGATCACAAACATTACAAAAGACAGCAGTTTATCTGACAGTGCAATGAAAATTATGGTAACTCATTGTACCTGCAGCTCACAGAATGAGAAGAAATCGTTGTGCAAAATCCTTTATAGTGCTGTGATTAGAACCCTAAAAGCTTTAGTATAAATAGATAATCAGAGCATTTTTCTAGCCTGATCTGATTGCTATTTTTACTTTTTTATTTAAATGTTGTGAATTACAACCACCACCAGATGACAGTGTTGTTGGAGATTATAACTATGCCTTTGCAGAGTCACTGTCAGTATTACAAATGCAAAACTATACCAACAGTGGGATAAAAGTTTAAAAACATTTGGGTCAGGGAACTGACTAAACCCAAAGTTTCTATGTCTGCTGTATGATCCTTTTGTGTACAAAGTATAAGCTGCTCTAAGTAATTGCTGGGTATCAAATATTAAATTTCTTTACCATGTGCCTGACTTCATATCAAACAGTCTGTGCTATTTATTTGTGTATTCATATATTCATCTGTAGTGCCCAGATTTTAGTTAAGGTAAAATGGAGGAAAAAGGTTCATTAACAGGCATTTGAAAAAAGATGGTGAGTGACGTGAGGGAAAAGTCAGATTTGTGAATCTGTTCAAAATGCACAAGGCTATGAAAAGAGCAAGAGCACTGTCTGAAAAAACTGAAAGGTAACCTAAAAGCCACAACTGTTTACACTGAGAAGCCAAGAGGAATTAACTCGCTTCAGAGAGGAGAAAAGCTGACAGGCACTGCTCCTCTGTACCTTGGGAGGGAACACAGTCTCTCTGCTCTAGTGGGAAAATTGTTCAGAGATCACATTTCATGCCATATACTTCTTTCCAAAAGTACAAAGTGCAAGCTCGGCCACTGAAGAAAGACTATTAAGAACCACTGCAGTAAACTGGCTCACTAGAGCCATCTTTTTTGTGAATGGGAATATTTAAAAGTGAGTGACAGGATTTGATCCAGCAAGAGTCTGACTTTCCTAAAACAAAAATTTTAATTTTATCAATACCTTGTTAAGTGGTGTTTCTCTTCTGCTTTGTCTAGAGTGTCAAAACCTTTCTCCTAACTTCTATTTTACTTAAATGTACCTTAAAAACTCTGAATGCTAAGAAAACGGAGCCAACGGTGCTATAAAACGGCAATCATTTTTATCAACAGTGATGCTAGTCATGACTTTGATTTAAATTAGCCAGCAGCAGATGCTCACTTGAGTACTTTTATTCTTATTTCTGTAATCATAGTGTAAATAAATTTAAAAAAAAATCAAATCTATATGGGTAGGGACCTTGTATCTAAGAAGAGACAATAACTTGCTCCTGAAGACAGATTCCTCATGAGAGAGGAATGGCTTGATTTTGAGGAGACCTGGGATCTGTTCCCAGATCTCCCAGTGCCCTTGTCACCCACAGTGGCCAAGCTATTTTGCATCTCAGTGCTTCTATTGATATTTAAATGAATAGTGATCCTACACAATTTCCTGCAAACACATCTTTAGTTTTTCTCTTATCTTGCCCAGCTGGTGATAGAAAGGTCAAAGAAATAATTGCACATTTAGGTGCTTTTTAAGAATACTGAGATACACATTCATAAAACACAACTGGGACTGCTGGGATTTTTCTGAGTCTGTGATAATATTTTCCCCTTAAAAACTATCATTAAGAAACAGAAAATGATTTTACTTAATAATTTCTAGTCAGCAGGGCTAAAAATACATGCAAAGATATTGAGACAGTGAGTTGGGAAGACCTAAAAAAACCCCTAATATGTGTGATTCTTTTAGCTAAAATGCAGAACATCTAAAACCGCATCACTGGAGATGCTGTACCCAGCAGAATTCACAGCTGAGAGAAGTCACTAAGTTATAGCATAACAGATTCTTAAAGAAATGTACTTAATAACATTTGCAAGAGTCAAGGTAAGGAGCTATTTCAAGGAGAATCAGGAAGTATTTTTTCCTCAATTACAAAACTGTATAATTTGGTAGATCATTAAGGAAAATATTCACTTTCCTTCTGAGACCATCAGATTTATGAAACTGATGGATGCAGAATACAGAAAACTGCAATTTAGGAATAATTAAACTAATTCCCTGCATCACAGTTCCTAGAATATACAAAATAAAGCAAATACATATTTTTCTGCTGTGATTGCACACAGCCATTATGTATAAAAGCACAAAGACAACAGTTTTATGTAGCTAGATTTATCAATTAGTGCTTGAATTCAAGACAGATCTATAAGAACACTCAAGCAGTTTCAAATTAGGAACTTGTCAGCATTTAAGATAATATCCTAATACTGCTACATTGTTGTTTGAGTATTAGCATACTCAATTCCCTACTACTCACACTTTTCAATTAAATGTTTTGGAGGGAAATGTTTCTCATCCTTCTTAACTCCCCTTTCTAGCTCCTAGGACTTACTACAAGCTTTGCCACCCACTGAGTAGGGTGGAGTATCTGGTTGAAGAGACCAAGGGCTTTAGGCTTGAAATTTCTTTCATGCCTGACTTCTCAATAACAGGCATAAGGCACTTCTACATAAAGAAAAGTCACTTGCCTTTCAGTTGAAAGTAATGAATACTTCATCACCTCTGCTGAACTACTACAAAAGCACAGTTACTATTCAGTATTGATTTGCATACGTTATCTGACTTTCTTGAGGAGCTTTAGAAACAAATGTGTGGTAAATCTGATGGCATGACCATAAAATACAGATAATTTCACAGGTGAACAAAGTGAGTTCTGGAAGACTCAAGAGACTGCATAGCAACTTAGTGATAGATATGGGATTGAAACATGGCCCAGAGAGTGCTGGTGAACGGGGCTGCATCCAGTTGGCAGCTGGTCACCAGTGGTGTCCCCCAGGGATCAGCGTTGGGCCCTGTTCTGTTTAATATCTTTATCGATGATTTAGATGAGGGGATTGAGTCCATCATTAGCAAATTCGCAGACGACACCAAGTTGGGAGGGAGTGTTGACCGGCTGGAAGGCAGGAGGGCTCTGCATAGGGACCTGGACAGACTGGAGAGTTGGGCTGGTTCCAACAGGATGAGGTTCAACAAGGCCAAGTGCCAGGTCCCGCACTTTGGCCACAACAACCCTCTGCAGCGCTACAGGCTGGGCACAGAGTGGTTGGAGAGCAGCCAGGCAGAAAGGGACCTGGGAGTGCTGATTGACAGGAGGCTGAACATGAGCCAGCAGTGTGCCCAGGTGGCCAAGAAGGCCAATGGCATCCTGGCCTGTATCAGAAACAGTGTGGCCAGCAGGACCAGGGAAGTGATTCTTCCCCTGTACTCAGCACTGGTGAGGCCTCACCTGGAGTACTGCGTCCAGTTCTGGGCCCCTCAGTTCAGGAAGGATATTGAGGTGCTGGAGCAGGTCCAGAGAAGAGCAACGAGGCTGGTGAAGGGACTTGAACACAAGTCCTATGAGGAGAGGCTGAGGGAGCTGGGGCTGTTTAGCCTTGAGAAGAGAAGGCTCAGGGGAGACCTCATTGCTCTCTACAACTACCTGAGAGGAGGTTATAGCCAGGTGGGGGTTGGTCTCTTCTCCCAGGCAATCAGCAGTAGGACAAGAGGGCATGGCCTTAAGCTGCACCAGGGGAGGTTTAGGTTAGACATTAGAAAGAAATTCTTTATAGAGAGGGTAATCAGCCATTGGAATGGGCTGCCCAGGGAAGTGGTGGATTCTCCGTCCCTGGAGGTTTTTAAGATGAGGCTGGACATGGCACTTAGTGCCATGGTCTAGCAACTGTGGTGGTAGTGGATCAAGGGTTGGACTTGATGATCTCAGAGGTCCTTTCCAACCCATCTGATTCTATGATTCTATGATACTGTTCTCAGATTTATAATTTAAAATATTTTTAAACCTTTGGTCTAGCAGACACCTTTATGTAACTGCATACATACATAATGAAAAGAGATGCTTCCCTTGCTGCATTCTTATGCCATTTCATCATTTCTAGGAGCTCACCTGTACATAAAGATGACATGCTGACATGCCTCCTTTTTATTATCCCCCTTGTCTGCAAAGCAACACTGCAAATGCAGAATCTTGAGATGTGAGAATCTTTGATTTGAAAAAGGTATTATTTAAAAGGGAAGCAATTAGCAAACTGCTCAGAATGCTCCAACTATGTGATTTTGCATCTTCATCTCTTAACATGCCCTATTTCAAATTAAACTCAGATTCTAATAATCTGTTCTCTGTCAGACTTTCTCACCTTATTTTGTCATTTTGATTCCACACTCCTCTCTCACATGTGAAGTCTTTCCCTGCTTATATAGAAAAGGCCAGAGACATTGAGTTAAGAAATATAAGGTACAGCTCACAGAATAGTTATGTTTCATTATTAATATAAAATATACCACCTTGATTTGCTAATATAAAATATTCATTATTGATGAATGCATCTATTAAAATAGATCACATACCTTCTAAATAGCAAGGTTTTCCAACTATCTAAAATAAACTCTGATGCCTGTAATTGAAGTAGTACAATGCTATGCTTACAGAAGGAAAGAAAAAAACCTTTTAAAAAAAAGGCTTATCACCACAAAACAGTGACAAGTCTTCAAGTGAGTATTTCCTCTGGTAGTTTCCTTCAAACCACCTGGACTTTTCCATGGCTCTGAAAGGAGAAGGGGGTTTAACCTACGGGTTGCAATTATACAGTTAAATTTATAATAAATGCAATATGAACTCAAACTATTCTATCATGAAAAACTAGGCTGACCTCAACTTGTCCTGCAGCACCTGAAACTTCATTTGGAATAACACCTGTGGGAGATAAGAGAGATGCTGCATTGACAGGGACAGCCACAGTATTAAATTGCATTCAGTATATTTGGTCAGACAGAGGCCATAATCAAAAAGTTTAGCTCAAGAAAGATACCAGAAATTCCACACATTTGTACGTAGAGCAAACTAGCCTGGCATAAAAAGAACAAGAGAACTGTGTCATTTATTACTCTGTCTGGCTAAATTAAAGGATTTCAAGCAATTTTTTTTAATATTTCCATCACTGCCAGGTCCTTCTTATGAAACCAGGGACCGTATTGTGAGCTTCCCATTCTGATTTAGCAGTGCTTTGCATGCAGCCAAAGAAACTCACAGTTATAATGTTTACTAAAGAATTTACAGAATGATTTTTACTCTGTGACTCTTTTTTATTAAACACATGTAATAATATTTCTTCACAGAAGTGCTACACTGAATTATTTACCAGAGATGAAGACCAGACCTGCTCAGGCAGGGAGGCCTGCTGTGGCTTCTTGAGTCAGAATACACAGAACTCCTGGAAACACCAAGATATAATTCTATCTCCTACTGGTAGTAACTAGAATAGTGTTATTTAGTCTTTGATTTCCAAGAGTAAAGTGTCACGTATTGTTCTTCTATTATCCTATCTTATTCAGTTCATCCCTATAACCACTAAAAATAGCTAGAAATGTTATTTCTACATCGTGTAACTCTCTAGACCTCTATTCACTTCATTCTTCAATATAAACTGCCATGATCCAAAGCACCAAGATAATTTTGCAGTTGGTACACCAAAACAAGAGAAAAAAATGGTTATGGTGAGAAAAAGTGTTGCTAACAGTTAAAATTTCTTAATTATACTATAAAATGCACACAGATACTTAGAAGGAAGGCATAACTTCCTTTTGGCTCTGTTCAGCTACTGGAAGAAAGATAATTCTTCACATGCTGTCATAATGCATTAACCAGCATCACATTATTATATAATTCTTGTTCAAAATGAATCATGCAGTATTTTCTTCTCTTCCTCCATCTACTAAAAATTGCTTTAAGTTAATCTAATTAGGCACAATATGAAGACTCATACATTCGTTAATTTTATTATTTCAAAGTACTTTTCTGGATATTTCATTCTTTATAGTCTAGTGGTCCAAAATTTTGCTCGTCCATTAGGGACAAATACTAAGCAAGTAACATGCAGCTTTTCTTCTTTCTCTGTTACATCCTTTTAATTTCTTATAACTATAAACAATATCAGAAAGTTGCACTGGGTAATATACTACCCACAAGCCACAGGGGGTTTGGAGTCTTCTGGTGTAGTCCACTTTACAACATGTACTCAAGCGAGAGCTTGATTATGAAGGTATGAAGGTTATGTATAGGGAGGTAACATTATGAAATAACACTATGAATGAGGCTGCTTTAGCTTCTGTGGTGTTGGTAATCTAGAGTACACAGTGTATACTTTTAAAACATTCTCTTGCTGCCATCACCTTACAGCCTGCAAACCTGCCATGAAACTAGTGAGCAGTTTTAGAAGTGACTTCTCTTACCTAAGCAGCATGAAATACTTCAGAATCAAGTATTCAGAATTAAGGGGGTATTACTCTGGAGTTCAAAAGAGAAATTGCTGCTTCCAGACAATACCTAGTTTCCAGAACGCAAACTGGAAAAGCAGACATCACACAGGTAAACAACGGTTGCTCAACATAAGCCTCAGAGCAAAGAAAACAGAGGTGACAGATCGCAAACACAACTCGGAGCAGAGAGACAGATACATGAATAGCCTTCAAATACTCTTTGTCCAAAAGCAAGTAAAATTTCTTAATTTTAAGTTCAAAGATTTGCACTTTTTTGAATGCACTTTTGTGGGGTTTTAGCACTGATTTTCATATACATAAATCCAGTTGCATCATTCACGCAGAGATGCCCCAAGAAGATAAAAGCAGAAAATATCAAGTGAAAAGCTTTGTTATATGGTGCAAAGAAAATAATAAATGGGTAGAGAGCTCCCTCATGCTTATTTGAGAGGATTACCACTGCGGACAAGAAATTTAACTATTACGAAATAAAATCCATTAATGAAAACTGGAATTTTACTTCTAGATAATGAAACTAATTTCTGCTGTAGTGGAAGACTTTTGTTCTTTTGTTCATTTAGTCTAAAAATAAGACTGCTCAAAGGTGAAGGCTGCTCAAAGATAGAAATACTGAAGGCACAGAAAACTGAGGTTTGCCTCCAGTGTTTCCAGAGAATATGGATTTTAGGAAGGGAGGGAGAAGAATGTAAATACTGAATACACTTAAGAGGTTTAATGATGGAAATTAAATGCTTCTTTAAGAATGAAAAACTTGTCAAGTACATGAGTTAACACAAAGTAGTTATAGTTTTTAAATAAAAACCATTAATTGTTTGCTTTTTAACATAATCTTCTGGCTGTTTTATTTTAAATACTTAAATATTTTTTTGTTTGGTGACATATTTGGAAATAGGGAAAAGTATAAATACTGAAAATATGAACTATTAAGAGAATTCAAACATGGAACTCAAAATCAGACCTCACAGTGCAAATACAGAAGAGACAAAGGATCAGAAAATGGCATCACTGTAGAGATGACAGCACAGTATTGAGCAGTGAGAGCAGTAGTACTGCCTAAGGATAGCAAGTATCAGGTCTTCAGTACACCAGTATAAAAACCTTCACATATTTGTGATCCTGACCCACCAAGTGCTTTTACTACAACAATCTGCAGCAAGAACCTGCTAGCAAGAGGCTGCGAACACCAGCAGCTTTCATCAGCTGATCAAACAGCTTATACTTTTGTCTTCTCTGTGCTAAACCAGGGAGTTCTCAGTCCTGAGTTTCAGTCAGCTGCCTGGCTTAGGGTGGAGAGCAGTTGCTTCCCAGGCGGGCATCCAGGAACACCTGCACTGCACCCTCACAGCTGGGGCACCCGACAGCCCCTGGTGCCTCCCACCAGCCGCTGACTTTGCACAGACTTAGCACCGTGCCAGTCATGTGCTGCTGTCAGAGCTGCTAGGTGAACCACTGGCGTTACTTTCCAGGCTGGATGTTGGGCTCTGAACCCTTATTTGACATTATCAAAGGAATAATTTCAAATTAAAACCCTCTGGAATTGTCACAAAATTTCCAGGCAAAACCTTCACATTTCTCAGATTAACCTAGCATGGACAAAGGAAGAAGTAAAATAGTTCAATTCAGTTTTGCACTTCCATCCTATATTAAATTGCCCAAAAATAGTCAGTAAGTAAAACAATTATAACTCAGATGAGTTTCAATTCTATGTCTCCCTTACAACTTTTTTCTTGGTCTTTATAATATCTGAGATAACTTTTTACAGAACATCTAGTAACCCTTCTGGACGCTACTCATTTAAAACTGACAAATATGAACAAGTACAACCCTCAAACAGCTAATTTAAAATATTTTAGTGTTTTTCCACTTCCAGCATGAAAGTGATTTACTTTTTTTTGCCCTGAGGGCTTTTTTTTTTTTTAAGAAAAGGTGTGCATGTTTTATCAGTAACAACATGTAGACGGGAAGCCACTTTTTTTCCTGTTCTAGGTTATACTGGAGGCATTACTTCCACACTTACTGATGACAAATTATAAGGAACACAACAACTATTATGTAGTTTCAATCAACCTGATTATGTTTAGAAAGCAGTTATCATCCTACAGGTTATATTTGGTACCATCTTTTACAAGCAACCCGGCCAACATAAAGAAGTAGATAAATGCAGATGCAGAACTGGCTGTTCTAAAAATATGCATGGCTGTCTTGCTTACCAGGAATTGACTGAATTGAATTGATGTCCCTCAGGAAACAGGCAAAGCTTGAAAAGTCAGCACACATCTTACTTATACTGGTCTGGTGACTATTTAATTTTTTTCTCAAAGGTTTTGAAGCAAAGCAGACATGGAGAGTTAAAAGTGTACCATGACATCTTTGGTGAAGGAATAACCTAGCAGCACGAAATGGTTATTTAAGTAATTGCTTGTCATTAGACACTGGGACCTGTCTGAGATTCCATTTAGCCTCCACTAGTTTAATATTTAATTTATTAGTTTCTGATGTTCTAATCTATTATATGTATAAAACCAAAAGTTACAATTTCTGTTGGTGATTTGAAAGATTCTTAAATTGGTGGATTAACCCATTCTATTGTTATTAACAGATTCTAAAAGTATTTGTTTTCAGTCTTAAGTGATTAAATCAGCTGATGTAGACAATAAAGTAGCAAAGCTAAGTTGTTGCATAAAAGCTTAAGGCATGGTTCAAAGTATAGCTTTATTCTGAAAAATTCCTATAAAAACAGTATAAAAAAAATCTGTATTTGTTGTGCCTTGGTTCTGACACCAGATATGCTTTCTGTAGTCATGCAGAGAGATAGGGTAGGGTGGGTGTTTCAGGTTTTTTGGGTCTTTTACAAAGAAAATTACCAGGCATACAAAACAAACCTTGGCTCCTTTAATCACCCAGCATTGTTT